ATATATTCATTTTAAATAGGAAAATTTAGTTGGTAACAAAAAGCAGAAAGCAGGCATGATGAGAAAACAATGTTGCTCTCACTTTGTCTGAACTTTAGGGACATATCTTGGGGGAATTCCACTTGGAAAATGATTGTGCCATACCTGGTGCTTACCCCTCCAGACGTGACTTAAGCAGTAAAAAATTCCCTCACATCACCTAATTTCCCCCAGCTGGTTCCCCCTCACTTAAACTACTATCAACCCTCCCAACTTATTTCAATCTTCCTAAGTAAGCCCTGCTAAACTCCTACAGCACCCCTTTCATCTGCAATACCATACTGGCTTACTGTTCACATCAACACCTCTAGAATAATAATGATGATGATGATGATGACGATGATGATGAGGATGATGATGATGATGATGATGAAGATTTACAATAATGAAAGAAAATTTAAATAATTACCTATAACATGATCATGTTGATTTGGAACAATTCTGTAGGAACTACTCGTACTAGTCACTGACATATTGTCGTCTGAGATGTCTGAAGTATATTCCCTACAAATTAAAAGTTGCAAAAACTATTACATATATTAAAAACAAATGATGAACTAAAGAATGGTACTACCATATAAAAGGAAAATATAAGGAAGATGGTGGGAATTCATTGGTTCTTGTAGCGTTGGAAGATTCCAGAACAATAAAACAACCTAATAATTTTATGTAATAACACCACTAACTAAAATAATATTACAATTTGATGTTCAAAACAGGATTTTCTGTACAAACCAGAAATGCATATTCACAACAAAATTTTGAACTAATTAGCATTTCCAATTTTTCTGAAATGTAATTTATTCTGATAACCTAAATACATTGTTTACAATGTTAGTAAACGTTATAACAACATTATGTTTTTGCAAAGAGTGGAACTGCATATTATTATTATGTGGGCTGCCCTCTACTACAAGTAGTTTCAAGCTTATTTTTTTTCATAACTACTGTACACATATTATTCTAGAGTAAATTTGGCATGCCTAAATATGGTCATTGCGACATCACATCATGACCATATATAGACACACCATGACTATATATGGGCATACAACAGTTTGTTGTCAAAGAAAATTTGAGAGTGTGGACACTACTTTAGAAGCAAACAAAACATGAACATTTTTTTTTTATAAAATTTATAATTTTTATATTAAATATTCACCTTGATAAGACTAATTGTAGTGATCTCTGAACTGCTTTTATTAATTCCTGTGCTTCTAATATATCCAAGTGATCTGTTTTAATTCCGTTAATCTGTAATAATGTGTCCCCAATGCAGATTTGCCCTTTGGCTGCCTTTCCGCTGGGATTAACCTGCAAGATAAAAAGAATTTTTTTTAAATTTACATTTATTCTATAATACTACAATATAACATAAAATATTTTAAACTTTTCAAAATTTGTTATCATTTATGATAGTACCACCTTTGTTACAGAAAGACTGTCTAACTGCACCTGTTTCCATATCTTACTATTGTATTGTTTTATGAACTTAATTTAATTTTTATTTTCTAAAACTAAAAATAAAACAACAAAATTAGGATTAACCTGCAAGATAAATGGAATTTTTTAAATTTATATTTATTTTATAATATTATAATATAACATAACACATTTTAAACTTTTCATATTTTGTTATCATTAATATAGTGGCACATTTGTTACAGAAAGTTAGACTGTCTATCTGCACCTCATATCTTACCATTGTATTAATTTGTTTTATGAACTTAATATAATTTTTATATTCTAAAACTAAAAATTATACAAAAAACTTATTTTTCTTATTATTCAAATAATAAATATAACTTTCATTGCAATCTGTAATTTATAAAATTTCTAGGTTTTCATTGATTACTTTTACCATCATTTTTGTGCAAGATTTTGGTGGAAACATTGTTTGTATTAAATATTATTTTTCATAGAAATATTTAATCACTCATCAGGATCTTTTTCTTTATAGGTACAAATTTCTCATTAGCAAAATGGTTCTGCCAAAAGCATATCTAGAAAATAAATTAAAATGTTACTAACAAAAAAAAATGCAAATTTGTAATATAAAAAAAAAACAATTAAGGGCAGCTTTAGGCCATTGTTCGAGTTCCTATCACATATAGCGATAATACGATGTTATCAGTCCAGTAACCATACTAATAAAAGTTTATACATTTATTTTACTGTGAGGAAAAAATAAGATTTTTGATTTGGAAATTTCAAGGCATCAGTAGTTGTTATGACATAAAAAATAAAATAAAATTTAAAAAAATTAAATTTCCTGGCAATAGATTTATATAAATTTATATAGATAAGGATAATATTTTTTTTATATTGTTATATTAATTTTTATAGATAAGGATAATATTTTTTTTCCTGAAACAGATTTATATAAACAATGTTGTTTGCTTACAAGAATACATGGAAACTTTATTCATCCTCTCTGGGAAAATTTCATGGTAGCTATTTTATAATTATTGTATAGATTATTGATGAATAATTTTATTCTAGATGAAGCAATATGTGTTAAACATTTTCATCAAATCACAGATACTTGGTTAATATCCAGGTTTCAATAACACCTCAACAAGATAAAATATGTTTTTTAATAATGATATCGCATATTATATTACTCTCCAGGGCACTGTATTCTAGAGGAAGCTTTTCATCATAATACAGTTTTACAATGAGATCGTCATTAGCAATATGCAACTATGGCCATGAACTACCTCTATCCATACCACGTTATGCAGACATCTCTTTATTGTTTACAATGTAACAATAATAGTGGTAAACACCAGGTATGCCTGTAAATGTAGATGTTTTAAAAAGAGGTAAGCCTAGGCCTCCAAATTGTGTTACACAGAGAAGTTGTAAAAAATGTGAATAATCACACATTAGAGCAATATAATTAACATTTTTAAATGTCATTCTCAGCTACAAATATATTGTAGTGGAGCTGTAGCTTGGTAGATTAAGATGCTTGCCTTCCAATTCTAGAATCTTTGATTAAAATCCTATCAAAAAACAGGATTTTTTTCATCACTTTCACAAAAAAAAAAAAATAAATATTATACATTATACAATTTAAATATTTAATCAATCAAATCACAAAATATTATGTATGTGGAGCTTACAATTTTATACTAGTTAAAATATATCACCGAAGATGGCAAAATAAAGTATTAAAAAAAAAATAGAAAGAAAAGTAGTAAATAATAAATACAGATAGATAAACTTTAATCATTCACATTGTAACTGAGAAACAGTTTCCTTACACAGCTACAATTTGGTGAGTAAATAATAAACTTAAATATACTGTAAAGAAAATTGCTATCGATTTGTTCCATACAGTATCGATATATTTTATTAATGACTTCATACAGACATGAAATAATTTTTAATTTAATGTTCCTAAAGTAAATAGAATTTTTTCTTTACAGGTAGGGCCAACATTTTTATATACATTTTTATATAACCCTCCGATTATGCCCACACACATATATATAAATATATATATACATATATATAAATATGTATATAAATATATATATAAATATATATATACATATATTTCTTCCTTAGTTATATAAATTTAAATCATTTATTAATCTCATTACTTCACTGTTTACATTCATCAATATTTTATATCTTTATGTTCTCCTCCACTTGCATGCTTTTGTCAGAATCGTAATTCTTATTTTTTTCCGCCCTCCTCTGACGATCTTTTAAAACAGTTCAATACATAGATTTTTTCCCCATTTTATCTTTGATATTCAAATAATAATGGGCACGGAAAAAATGCCAGTAGGAATACATCACAACAATGAAACAAAGCATTTCATAATAAGGATATTGATTTGCAAAAATAAATGACACAGCCTAATAACAGATGTTATTAGGTTGTATCATTTCAAGTATCATTAATTAATTAATTATAATTATATTAAATACAACCTGACTTTTTTTTTGTATTTAAAAAGCATTATATAGTACATTTACATAAACACACAGAGCTTTAAATCAGTATTATTTTCAATAGTGTTGTGATAGCTCCTCTCTTAAAATGTCTTAAACAATAACCCTATTATGAAATAGTTTGTTCCATTGTTGTGGTATTCATTCCAACGGACATTTTTTCCTACTGTAATTTTTTTTCCCTACACCCTAAATGTAAATGCTGTAAGCTTTCAATAACCTTTCACACTTTGCAAGCCATTTCACATCCTTCTTACATTTTATGGACAATTTTTTCTGTCAAGTAGACAACATATTGGAAATCATTTTTAATGGTTTTGGAAACAGCTACTGCTGTTAAAAATGTCTACAAAAATAATACTGGTGATGTAGCAGGTGTGTGAATCAGATAAATAATGGTAATAGCAAAATTATTTAATATATTTTTTCATCAACAATTTATTGGTCTTGGAAACTGCTGTTAAAAATATCTACGAAAATAACATTCATGATGTAGAAGGTGTGATTCACATAAATAACAGTAATAGTAAAATTAGATCTTTTTTTATTAGATTTTTTATGAATGTGGTATGGTGTATATTCAAGATTTATACAATGAGGAAGAGGGCAATTGCATATTATTATTACAATTAAGCTTATCATTATCATTATTATTTATTACTATTATTTATTATTATTATTATTATTATTATTATTATTATTATTGTATCTTGATTGTGTGCCTTTTTGTATTGTATGTGTTCTTTGAGGAGAACCTTTTTATAGTTTGATTCAATTCGTTCTTGTTCTTGTTTTATTTTTTTTATTATTTCTTTTTTACGAGACGAATAAATGATATGAAATGAAATGAGTACATAAATATTTGTCCCTTTTATGAAAGGACCCCAACCCGACAGTGATAGAGGGCATTATCAAACAAATTACAGCCAATCATGTGATAAAAGAACTCAGTATGTTTACACCTTCTCAACAGACGAAGGGATGAATATAAATTATATGGGACAGCCTCTCTGTTTACAAGGTGCTATCATTCCAACTGCACATGTGCCAAAGGGTTGTAATTCCAGACACAGCTCATTAACTTCAAAACCTCAGAGGACAGGACTTCTTTTAGTGTCATCATTAAAAGTGTATCCATGGCAACATAATTATTATGGCTGGCTATATTATCACCTAAGATAACCACATATCTTATTCTAAGAAATATTAACCATATTTGGTAAGTTTAAAAACCCAGATCCAATATGTTACTTTTTAGGTCATTAATATCAAAATGGTATATAAATAAACAAAATTCCAGTGGCCAGCTATAGTACACACTAAAGATACAGTAAACACAATTCTAAGAAATATTAATTGCAGGGATGTAGTCATAGTGGGCGGGACCATCCAGCCTTGAAGTATTCCACCCAGTCTAAAGTTAATTTCATGGAACTCACCCACCCTTATTAACCCACTTTTCCATCCTCTAAATCCACTCTTATTATTTAGAGTTTACCAATGTTTTCACCCACCCAACTCTTAGTATTTTTTACAGCTACAACCTTGGATACATGATCAAATGTTGAATACTTAAGTTTCACAGGATAAGCAAACTATACATATTATTTAAGCAACTAATTTCAAAGACACTGATATTTTTATGATCTTAAAAATAAAAAGGAAGTTGTTAAAGATTATATCCAAAGAAATAAAAGTGTTTGTATACATCTATATATTTAGATAAATTTGATCCATCTGGCTGAATTGGATATAGAATATGTGGTCGGTGTCATAGCTGCCATAAAGAGTTGCTCAGTAGTTCACATCCCTCCACAATGACAGGGGCCGAGGTGAAGCTGAGCTCCGGGCCCTACTCTTCGAAAGATTCACCAGGCTCCTTTTAAAGCACACACAAGCCAGATGATGAGTACACTAACTGGCCTGTATTTAAGTCCTTAAACAAGAAATTTGGTTCTATAACCATGAACGAGAACGCATCTCAAAAAAACGAAGATGTAGGTTACATCTCCCTTGCTTTAGGCTTCAGCCACTCAATCAATTCACCCATTATTAAATTGCATCTAATAATTAAAGAGCATCAATTAATTGCTTGGTATGTTATGTATTATTATTGTTTACTCACTTAATTAAAATATATGAATCTCTGAGATTCTACAACTAGTGAATATAGAACTCTCAATAGATTATAAGGAATTAAGCTATGTGTACTTTGTAGACATTTATTGTCAAATAAAGCTTCTCTATGCCCTAAAGGAAAATGGTTCATCTAATCTGGAGCATATAACAGGCTAATTTGCATTTTACACATCATTAACTTGCTTATTAATAAATCATCTGCTATATTATACTTTGAAATGCTACCTGGAAAAGAGATGTATATAGACCAATATATGTAATATGTCTGTTTCTACACAATTTATAGCTAATTTGATCCCTTTGAGAAACACATCAGCGTCAATCACCTGGCATTTAAGTTTTAGAAACAGATCGGAATCATTTTCTCAATTTGAGAGATAAAATACAGATATCCAACGCTGCTACTATGTAAGGCCTGTAATCATCTGAATGCAAAAGTGAATAAATATCAGAATATGTATGAGTTATGTTACCATACTGGTGAAGTAATTACTATAAATTATAGAAGCCACAGCTTCCTTTAAAAAATAAAAATAAAAAAGATCAAATTATTTTCTCAATTTGACAAATAAAATACCAACATCCAACACTTGTTATGCCATGTAAAGGCCTCGATAGGTTTGCAACAGTGAATAAATATGAGACTGCGTGAGACGTGAAAATATATTTGAAGAACTTTAAATTATAAAATACAATAAAACACTATCCCCATTATATAAAAATTTAAAATGAGCCAGTAGATTTTTATATTAGCCCTTTAATAAACACATGCTACACTTTCTATCTATCATCTGTTTGTGATATCCATATACAGAGTTAGTGTAAAAGCCATAAATTGTAATATAGTGATTTGTATATATAATGACAAAAAAACAGATATCAGTTTTGAATAATAATAATACAGTACTGATACAAAATTAAAATATTAAATAAAGTTGACCTACATAAAGGAAAATATTGGTTATTTTGGATGGCGACAATTGTATCAGTACTGGAGATATGAATGTAGCTGACAATACAAGAATGATATAAACAATAGTGTATTTGTAATTACATTTTGGCATGAATGAATTATTATTGAACCTGTTTGTCCTCGCTAATATTTGTACCTTCCTACCAGACTTGGTGAAATCAATACGGAAATATAATGGAGGTGAACTTGTAACTTGTAATTTTTCGCAGCGCATCTAATGCAAAATCACTAACTATAGTGTGGTCAGTTTCATCTTAATAGATGTAAATGTTAGAAATTGAAAGTTGGATGATATTGAAAAAGCTAAACGTACTAGAAATATAGAATACAGGAAAGGGCCCCGATAATGGCTAAGGGGACAAGATACTGAGGCCTAGGGTACCTTTTTGTCATATACCCCCTCTTGCCACTAGGGACAATATATGGGTGGACAAAAGACAACGTAATGGGTCCAAGAACAAATTGGAATGTAATTGCATTTCATTTATTTTGTCTTTAGAAAACTTCAAATTCATGGACACAAGTATATCCAAAGGCAAAAACACAAAAGGACCAGTCGTTAACAACCCGATGGGATAACTAAAAATATAACTGGCCTATGATTTCAAACCTTTTGGACAAAAAACCAACTAAATTTGGTAAAAAATATTATTGCAAATGAAATTAACATAATAATAATAACAAAGATCCCTTACAGCTCATATAGTAAAATTGATTACACTAAACTACCGATACCAGCAAGCAACAATACTTGTTTATTTACCCATGAAGGAAATCAAGGGAATTGATCATGGATAACCTTGTAAATTCCTAATCAACAAATCATACCAATATCCTGTAATTATGAATTCAATGGAAGTCAAATAGGCCTAGCACAGTTACTGAATTGTCAAGAGTAAGTACCGCAGTTCCATAGGTACGCACACTAACATGAAATTGGGTCGATTTTGTGGATTGGCTTCTATCTGGGATATTGAATGAGACAAATCAATCAAAAGGCGAATTTCAAATATAACAGTGCTTAATTTATAAATCTTTAATATTTATTTTGTGAAGGTATATGAATGTCAGCTGATACTCATTAAAATACTACATGTACACTAGGCTTTGACTGGGATAAATCCTGGTATTTAAAATAAACATAAAAGTGGAATTATTTCTATTGACTGCAGACGTGTAATTAACAATTAGTTATTTAACAGAAAAATTTGCTAAACAAGGTATTAACAAAATCTTTTACAACAATATTCTTTTATGAATAAAGTTGGCGACCATTTAAGATAATTCATACCTGGCGTGGATTATGGGATAGAGGCACCAATCTGTGCCTTCACTCTGGAAGAATCTTTTTATTTTTAATAGGACTTAGTAGAAAAATATAATTTATGTTGTCCTTAATGTTCCTTTCGATCAACCGCATTTCATATAGCAGGAAGCCAAATGTTTATAAGTGTTACCATTTGTGATTAAATAGCTATGTGCGTTACCATAGCGATTAAGGAACAGCAATGTGAACAGGTGACAGGAAATAATATTGATTTATGTAACAAACTTACAGAAGGATGTTGTATAAATACTATACTGCCAGAAAGGTCTTTTTTACTGACATGGTTAAATTGCTCATTTAAAACAATAAAATGAGTTAGCAGCTTCCAATGAGTTGCCAATAAAAAAGTTTTCACTGACTGAAACAAAATGATTAACACGTTGACTGCCAGACCGTGTATTTTATGTTTTGTTCGGTGTACCAAAACAGTATAGAAACATACTTTTTTGAAATTTTATCAAGTCACATATCATCAAAATGATGTGTCTATTAAATTGGTGGGAAACTTTTTATTGCCTCTGCCAAGTGCGAGTTTTCTTGTCTGTTCTTTTTATGGGTTGGTATACAGTATGTTCAAAAGGTGCAACCCACACGTGCAATCTTTTGTACTATCGGCAACATAACACAATAAACATATATCATATTTCTATGTTTAACGTCTAGGTGTACCTTCCCCGAACTACCAGCTGTTAAGTCTATGTTTCTACAACTTATAACAATGAAGCAATAAATGCTAGAGTATTACCCCGGTTTTGACGAGTATACTTGCCCCTAGCACCCTCAGCAACAACCAGTGGGGGTGAGTATCTTCACTGGAAGTGAGTATCGTCACTGGAAGTGAACGTGTTACAGCCACTTTTTAAAATGCCAGTAAATGCTATTATTATGCAGGACATCTTAACATCTTACATTTTCAGTACTGGTAGCTGATAATAATGAATAGTCAATATTTAATGGATATAATATTTTAAGTTTGATTTTCTATAGACACTAATTTACATTGCAAATAACTTATTTTCTAGATAATTAACTAACTAAAATATAATTCAGATTTTATTCAGCTATTTAGGTGAACCTTGAAAGTACTGGATCATTGTTAGATGACAGAGCAGTTTGCATTAATGATGCTATAATTAGTGAGTAGAGGTTGTTAAAGCATCAACTCAGGTGCCGTGGGCTTAGTGTTCCGTTAGTGTATCAATGCGAAGTACTAAAATGAACTAAAATGCTGGTACAGTATAATTAAACAAAGAGCTGATGTTTAATCAATCAATACTATTAGAATAATCTGTCATTCCTTAGGTTTAGTATCCTTCATTTTCATTAACCGATGACAGTCTCTATTAAATGAAAAATAATTAGTCTCAACAAACTTACAAAAAATAAAAAAAATAAAAAAGAAATACAAATTTAATGATTAATACCTTCAAATATTAATAAAACAACATTTATAATATAAAATGTTTCTATTAAAATGAAAACTTTTAAATACAGTTTGCACCACCTTTGAGACATAAAAAAAAGGGGTGGTTTGTATTAAAGATTGAAAATTGTTTGTTTTTACTTTGAAAAAGTAGTCTTGAATTAGGGGATCTTGGAAATAGAAGGGTCTTGAAGCAGATAGTGAACTGTACTATAAGTGTACCACTAAGGTCATGAACTTCTCTTAGAAACAAATCATAAACATATAAACAATTATGATGTATCCATGGTTACATATTCTACTATTTCAGCCTCCACATACTGTTTATTAGATGCACTGAAACATCACTGTATCTCAAGAACATATTTCATTAAATACTGTATCATCCAGAAGAGAATATCATAATTCTGAATGGTTAAGAAAATCTATAACATACAATATCGGTAATAAAATTTAAAAAAAACCAAAGGTGTTAAAGAAGCAACTCAACCATTAATAGTCCTAATAATAAAGATTTAGTTCTTAAAACTATTATTTTATTCATCATCTTGATTTAATTTCCTTAATTATATAGGAAATCAGAAAATCTAATTTAAGAAAATTTAATTATTAACATTAAATTTTTCTTTAAATGTACAAAAGTTGAAAAAAGTGTAAAGCTGTTCAACTTCAAATGAGAAATAAGTTGAAATTTTATATCCAGTTTCGCTGTTTTATAAAATGTTAACGTTTAATGAGGCTCAAATTAAACAATTATGTTTGCTGATATACAATGCTGTACTTGTATAGTCTTATTTGTTGATGATGTAAACACAAACAAATCATCATTCACTACTTCTACTACTCACTGATTTATGTATCATGAAACAAATTTACTGTCAACTTCAAAGTTAAAATCAAAACTTAAATTGTATCACACTAAATTTGGTTATGTGAACCCAGCTCAAATAGAAAAAAAAATACCATTAAATGTAGGGCTCTGGGCTAAGAATTCAACAACATTCCATTGAATCAAGAACTCACCAAATCAGGAGAAGCAAAAGAATAACAAGTGAACAGTTATGCTGCAATGTCTAGGCCTACACCTCAAATGAAATAAACAATCCAAATAATATCCATAAGCAAGATAGGTTTTCTGTTAAGCAATGCTTGTTTACTCTGGCTAGATTGACTATGACTAATAGTATTTAGATGTTGACCCTCCCTTGAGTGTTAATGAAGATGCTCTGATGGGGGGTTTTCTCCTAATTACCATATAATGAATATTCATAGTTTGAAGGTATGCCTGGTATGGGAAATATGAGGGCTATCAGAATAGTCTGCCACCGTCAGTCCGATAATGATACCAAACAACAATGACAGTATATATTATTATTAATGACTTGAGATGTGAATGTTATATTCAACAAAGTGCTTCAGACATGAAAGCAAAAACAACCAGATTACTTGATTCAAATAAATGTTTCTAAAAATATAAAAATAAATGTCAGATTTATGATATCATCATATCAAAACTGTTCCAGAGTGAAATTATGAGGAAATAAAATTTTGCACATACTCATATTATGGTAATAAATAATGTTCAATTTATACAGCGCATATCGCAATAAACTGCCTCAATAAAATATTCTCATAAAATGCTAACATTTTAGTTCAATATTGATGGCTTAGATGGGTATGCTATCACTTGTCTGTCAAACTTCACAGATAATGTTTAATCAGACTTTAAATAGGAATTATAATGTTGTTTGAATTTGCAAAAGTCATGTACTAGCGGTGTTCAGAGTATTGACACGGGAAGATGATCAGGGATGTGAAGTTAAGTGATGGGCTTGAGGAAGTGAGGGTAAGCTAGTCTGCAAAAAAAGGGGGATTAAGATACTTGTTGAATGTCATTTTTCCCCAGCAAATTTCCAAGGTGAGGGAGACCAATCTGGTTTGGAAGGCATCGCCATGCTCTCCAGTTGATATGACACTGCAGACATGAATTGACAGATTTGTTTGATCAGATAAGTCTGAAAGCACATACTTCTTTCAGACTTATCTGACCAAACAAATCTGTCATTTCATGTCTGATCAGGTAAGTCTGAAAGCAGCACATACTACCACTCCGACAAAATGGGATACAGGCCTGTAACCAGCTTTGGTAATGGGGGAGATCTTTTTCAATCTGAGTGAAAATTGTGGGGTTCAGGTGTTCTCTTGAAAACTGTTGAAAACCATAACCACCACCTTTAATTTAAAATGCTATTCTGGTTTGAGCTGCTTTCAAAGGAGTTATATTCTGTGGGGAGAATCATCTGATCCCACCTGATTATGGGCCTGTGGATGTAATGAATATATTGAACTATGAACCTCAACTTTTACATCTGTCTATTCCATCCTAATTCATTTATTCATTCTTTATTCAGACAAAAATACACAAATAATACAAAATAATACACTTAATTAAAACGAAGACAACTAATAAGTTTGCTTGGATTAATATTTTTATTTTCTCCTCCCTCTCGAAGTTTTTTGCAAAACTATTTGCTAAATAAGAAAACAAAATTTTTTTCTGCCCACTTCTATAGATCATTAAAAAATAATTTCATGAAACAAGGTATAAAAAAAGTATCGCCATAAAGAACATTTGATAACAATAACATTATTGTTGGAAGGAAGTCTAGGAAATTGTTATTTTATTAAGTAATAGCATGGATTTTATACAACAATTCTTTCATGTTATAATTTAAGATGCCGCCAAAAGCTACCGAGAAAATAAAGGTGAAAAGGTAAAGTTTATTACACTAATAATAATCAATCAATCTTGTTTCATTTAAGAATTAGTACGAGTCTGGAAAAAACTCACCTTAAACATTTAATAATCAAGTCACAATGCGTACACCATACGCCCTATGAATAAATCAAGTGTATTTCAATGTAACCACTTGTGTCATATTTCCATTAATTAATTCAAAACCATTAATTATGAATATCATACTCATGTGAACTTTCCATTTAATGGAAAACACGCCTTATGGCAGAAATTCAATTATAAATGATCAGAAAGTTTGAATTATTTAACATCATGTTCAATGATCGAAGCAGCGTTCAATGAATTTCCATTACTGTATGGACTATGGGCGCGTTAGAGTAGCTACGCAGCAAACGTATTCCGTATAATGTTCCACGTAATTGCTTAGCAGGTGGCCAGACATTTAAGCATACTTAGGAACTCCCAAAAAATCTGTGAAACGAAACTACTTTGTACGAAATTATGTCATTAAAGCAAATTAGAGTAACTATCCCATAATTCCTCGTGAATATGAGGACGCATAAGCCAAGTAGTTACGGTAAAGTAACTGGATGATGTACAAGGGCATAGGCTGGTGCAGAAATTTTGATTGTGGATATAAATACCCAATCCAAAGATGATGTAAAATTTGGGTATATATTTCACATATCCAAATTTTATAACTAATGATAATAATAATAATCATAATAATAATAATAATAATGTAGTTTTATATAGCGCACATATCCATCTAATGTAAGATGCTCAGGGCGCTTGATATGTGGACTAGGAACTCGATCAATGATTTTCTTCGCCCCTAAGGGTCCCTTCGTGTCTGTATTACCTGGTAACCCGGTACCAGCAACTCTCGTCGTCCACCACAACTAAAGACAAAGCAACCGGGGAATATAAATTTTATGTAATTTTACGGTTATACTATACCGAAACTAGTAGAATGATTGCATAATTACCTTACCATACAGATTATCTACAGTTTTAAATAAAAAATCGTTGGAAGCGCATCAAGATATTTTTTTTCATAGGCAATATTCGCAGTGTTTGTTATGTAAAAATGATAAATTTATGATCTTTATGATTTCTTTTTATACTAATCTTTTTATAGAATGTTTTTAATGCATCTCTATTTTTTATGACTGAACAATAAATCTGGATCTGACCATTCAACTTTATTTGGGGGAGGGGTAAGAAGATGTTTACAAGGGATTTGTGCTCTTTTCTGCTAAATAACAACTGCAGTCATCTATGTCATCACTGTAAATACAAATAAAGAAAATCTAGCAAAAAAATTAGTTAATACTACAAGTAATCGGCCTGTCAAACAAATAGCAAATAATAATATAGCAGAAAAATAATGTATCATTTCATTGGTTTAGGCCAATTCTATTTTAATATTGTAAATTTAGACTGTTTACTTGTTATAAACAGATTATGCACATAGGTAAACTGAAGGTATACGGTGGTCTTATTTTTCATATCCTGAAGAGTTGAGGTGCAGGAATGTAATTCATATATTTTGCGGCATTACATCCTCTACAACTCTACAACTTTTGTAAACACAGTGACAGATGAACAATGTATGATATAAAACAAGATATCCTCCCGGCTGCATCTATATATAGGAAAGTAATTACGGCTCTCTCCATGAAAGAGTGCTTCAAGGGTTGGCTGCAACTGTCCTGTAATGAAGCCTGCAAATGCTTTGCCGAAAATGTTTTGAAGGAGAGAAGCTTAGTTCAAGATCTCGTACTAGGTACAGCTCATTAATACTCTACCTCTGGGTTAATCAGAGAAATTGGGCCATCACAGTCAGAATCCAATGTCAAATATGGCTTTTAATAAGTGCAATAAACTTATAAATATAATGGAAACATTACATAAAGTAATAGCATGAAAGTTAACTGTCTTCACTATGATATATAATTCTCATAATTGTCATAGTTCTCTTTTATCATTGTTAGTGTTTAATAAATGATATATAATTATATGTTAAGCATGAAAGAAAAACTTTTGAATTAATATAGATCTATTTATAATCCATATGTTGTATCTTAATGGATTTTTATGTTAATATTTATTAACGGGGTGGCAGACCCTCCATCAGTTATAGTAAAAATTTTCTTAACACGTTGACTGCCATACCTTTTTTTATGGTTCCTTCCAGAGTGCCTAAACAAGTTTACATGCACAAACATACTTTTTTGAAAATTTATCTAGTCATATATATCATCAAAATGATGTGTCTAATAAATTGGCAGGGAAAATATTAGGGGGCGAGTAAACTCGTTGATGGCACTGTAACTTTTATTGACTATGCCAAGTGCGAATTATCTCGTCCGCTTTTTGCATGGGTTGGTATGTTCAAAGGGCGCCCCCATTTGTCCCACTCAAGTGTACTACCGGCAACATAACACAACACACACACGTCATTTTTACGTTATTGTCTAGGTGTATCTTCCCCAAACAACCAGCCATTGAGTCTGTGGTTCTACAATATATAGCAAAGTAGTTATAAACGATATAATGTTACCCCGATTTTGAAGAATATACTCGTCCCTGGCGCCCTTAGCAACACCCTGTGGGTGAGTATAGTCGTCGCTAGCAACCAACGTGTTAAGCCGCTCATGGCTAAAATTTGTTGTACTGTACCTACTGTAAATATACATTGGTCGAATAAATAAATAAATTAAATTAAATTAAATATCTTCAACTCAGAAAGGTACATCTTAATGCACTTCAATTTCTGTAAATTAAATTATTAAAAGACTTTTCTCTGTTATAACTGAGCTTTCACTATCTTAGAATTTTTTTGGTTTGGCTTATCTTTATTAATTTGGATGTCATACTTAAGTATAGATGAATTTTACATGGTTCATCCCTCAAGGCCTTGAAAATATAAAATCCTGAACTTTAATTAAGGAACCATTATAATGTCTTTGTACCTAGTAGATAACAAATCTTGACCCTCATAAAGATTGAACCTAATTCCATTAAAATCAAAAATCAATCTATAATTCCGTATCACTTCACAACCATACCATGCACTTATTAACTGAAGGTCGCCTCTTAAACAAACTTATCTCTCAACCTTTCTCAAATTCACCATTAATTTCAAAACAGAAAATAATAATAATTGATTCTTCTTGCATAGTCGTTTTAATAGAATAATAAATGAAATGTTTAAAAGATAAATAAAGTACATAGGATTAGGTTTATGATTGGAACACAACTGCATTACGTTTCATTAGACGACAATTAAATTGGTAAATGACTTTGTGAAGGTTAATTCTTAAATAAACATGGATTTAATTTTGTCTATTGAAAACAAGATATGTTTTCACCTGTTTAAACTCAAGAGAGTCACTGTAAGAATGTTTGTGT